ATTCAGTTGAGTCTTTCGCGAAAACCAGATTGATTCGCAAATGAGTTTATTTCTCAAAAACAGTGCAATTTGGGTTCAAGTAGAACATAAGGTTGACGGAAACTCTGGGACTGCGCCTACCTGATGAACCCGAAGTGGAAGGGCGAAACCGGTCGTTGGCTGTCGAAGAGTTTTCAGCAACCTTCCTTCATGAAAATATACCTCGATATCTCGAATATTGTGCCAACTGAAACATCAGGCGACCTGTGTGCAGCAATTTCAGTTGCAGAACAGCATAAACGAGAGATTCAGCTGAGTCTCTCGTGAAAACCAAATCGATTTGCAAACGAGTGTATTTCTCGAAAACGTTCATCATACTTTCGATCAACGCAACGAGGGTTCTGGGTAAGTGAGCGACGCGTAAAACTAAGTGGAGCAGTGGGACGGAAATTAGCTCATTGCCCCGGCAACTAACCGAGCGGTAATTCAATGTTTGCTACGGTGCAGACTCAATTCCTTTCGTCATATCCAGGGCAAATAATCCGAGTAAGACGAAACGAATGTGGAGAAAAACTAGTGTAATTAAGAACCTAGAAACGTTAAACGAAATGGCCAGAGAATTTAGCTGTATTTGTGGTTAATTGAATCAAATCTTTTGGGAGTAAACTCCGATCAACAAAAAGGTGTCTTTCAGCAATTTCACGGCACAACAGAGCGTAATGCACTCGTGAGTCCTTCGGTATGTTTGAACCAAACTACTCAGATTCCCCCACTGCCGGTAAGCAGATTTGCTGCTGAAAACGGGTTTACGGAAAAACGTGGTTCAACAAATAAGGGTGGCTCTGGTGCTCTGTTTTGTCTACCAAACTACGCGTTTCCCGTTTGAATGAACCCTCATTACAGAAAGGCATCAGCCTTTCCACGGTGTTTATTTGCCTCTGTAGCAGGGTTTTCAACTGATTGGAACATTTGAGCATAAAGTAAGCACCTGCTGCGGTCATGGCTAAAAGTTCCACCGGTGACCCTGACCTGGCCTTTCTAGCTAGGCGAGACAAACGTACTGATATCTGCTCATGCCAAGACGGGACAAGCGGTAGTCAGCATGCGGATGAAACCTGCTTACATCATTTGTTCAAGCATCACGAAAGGACGTGTTCTTCCCAAGAACGTCAAAGTTGTGTAGCCAAGGGCAGTAGGACAAAACGGCCAAACTAGAGTAACCACGCGAGCTACTGGTTACTGTCGCACTCGATTTGAAACGCAGCTTATTTCCAAAAGCCACTAAACGGTCCGGATGAATATGTCTTGAAAGAAGATTTGATGTCTTCGTTTTCGAAGAAGTTTGGTGACAATCGGTAGATTTGTTGCTGGGCAACGTTTCGCTTTTGACACAAAAGCTTCGTCAGGCCAAGTGACTAGGTTCCGAGGTTGATCGAGATTTAAGGCGGAAGGAGAACCAATCAGCTAAGTCAAGCTAAATCTCTGTTGGGTGTCGGCCGAGGGATTTTAGTGTGTCAGAGTGGTTGAACAAGTGTTGGGTCGGTGGGGAAACCTACATGTGTTTGGGTTCAGCCTAGGGTCTAGTTCTTCTGGTTCGGTTCATTTGATGGTCCCTCTTGAACTTCGTTTGAACCTTCTGTCAGTCTGTGTGGGTGAGCTAGTACTAATATAGTTGATGTCCTCCCAAACTGAAGAAGATTTTCCATCAGGCACGTACTCAAACATTTTTTTCGCGGATTACTGAAAAATCATGTTTTTATATCATTTTTCTCTTCGAGTTCATTTAAATCCATTTTAGATACTAGTTTGCACCACTCAGATTTGGGCCACTTTTTAACCAGGCCATTGCTTCAGGTTAAAAACGGGGTGGGTTCACCTAAAAAATGACTCTTCACCACACCGAACTTTGCAAACAGATTGCAGTTTTTTTGTTTTCACCCGCTCCTAGGGCAGGCAAACTTTCGTCGGCACTTGTGTCTCAGTTTTTCTTGTGGCAAATGAATATTTAATGATGGCGTTAGTACAGCCTCCTATGTTTAGATTCGCTGCTTTTTAAAAAAATACGTGATTGGTTGGACTTAACTGCCAGTTTTTCCAAGAAGGATTCTCCCCTGTTCTTACGAGAGCAGAAACTCCACTCAAATCAGCATTCAAACTGTCCGTGCCCTAATCGAACGACAGTCACTTTTGCGAGTGCAGCATACCTCGACGAATGACGTCAATTCAAGCAGGTAAAAATCAATTTTCCAACAACGGATTTGCGGTTTTGCCTCAGATACTTGAGTTCAGACTGAATGACCGCTCTGAAGGGAATTTTAGTTCGGTGAGGCGGTTTTAGGAAAAATATTTATTTGCGGTTAATTTATTCAGAATCTAAGAATAAGATGAACTTGCAAGTTCAGGTCAATTCTCGCGCCAACCAGGCCACCAGACTAAAACAAACAAGTTAGGTTGTTCATCGGATCTGGACGTGGAAATCCCGTGAACGGTGTGACAGTCAAAGGATAATTCATGCGTGATAATATATGCGTCATTCGTCCTGAATTTTAGTGCATACATGGGAAAGGCAAAAAGAGGGATGGCGGTGGGGCTCCCCCTGAGATTACCTTCACTCGGAGAGGCTGTGCTGAAGAGCATCACATATCATATGAGGTCTTGGGAGAAGTGATAGGAAATATAACTGCCGCCGCCTAGTCGAGTGAGCCATCATCATCATCATCATCATCATCATCGACAGCATGACATCAGTGCTCAACACCGATGCTTCACTGCCGTACAACCATGATTTAGTTGAAAGCCTTATTGTAAAGAAAAGAGTAAAGGTGGACGGGGAAGAGACTTAGTGCTAGCTTATCACAATCATTTCGAGGTGCCTATAGCTTCAGACGCTCACTCAGGTGATCCGGATGGAAAATGACAACAAGAACGCCACTGACACCGGTTGGCAGCCATATCTTGTAGTGTCTCCAACCAGGTGCAGTGAGGATCACGCGGTCCCCGTCTGGGAAGGCGAGTAGCCCCGACAGCGCCCAATCGTTTCGTGATCTCCTTCATACTCCTCTGCCAGGTCAAAAGTTGGCCTGGGAAGTTGGGCATGGAAAACAGCAATCTTTTCGGCAAGCGATGGTTAGGCGTACGCAACACATGTCTCAAGCAACGCAGCTTCTGATGCTGGACACATTCCAGCATTCTACGGGATATCAGAACCCGGATCTAGCAAATCTTATGTAAGACCACTTTTATTCTGGCAGACTCCTGAAAACATGGTTTCATCAGCCAGCTTTGGCCTACAGTTCAAACTGCTCCTTTTGGGTCGTTGGGGGGGAGTTGGGGGCCTTCACATGTGTTAATCTTGCCGGGAAGGTCGATTCCAATCTACTTGTGTCCGACATTGTACAGTGAACTAACCACAACCGGCAACTTTATTTACCCTTCATTTTAGTCCAACTGCTTTGGGTAACACAGCTGTACAGGTGATATTTATTGAAACGCATGATTAGCTTTCAGTTGCGTGGACAGCCAGAACACACTTTATTCGACGGAACAAATGCGTTGTTCTGCCTGACAACAAACAAAAAAGACAACAAAACGTTTCGGGTTGACTTAACAACGACCCAGCGGTGATTCACACAAAAGACCGATCCATGAGATAGGTCAGAGGGTACATTTTTAGGGTCAACATTCTCTTTGTCTCGATGAAGACGATAACACCAGTTCTGTCGGGCAAATTCTTGGGAGAAACAGAATCTTTGAATTCACCGTTTTCGATCACACATACTCCCGAAATGGCGGTCTTCCAACTGAACGTTTTGTCTCAAATAGTCGGAAGCTGTCAATAGTTGACAGGTGGGAAATCTTGACCTGCATTCACGCTCAGTTTTTGATACAGTCACAGCCTTCTCTGCATAGTGACAGTTGTTTCTCCCAACTGCTTATACACCCCAGTTGAGTCATGAGCCCATACCATAACCACTTATGATTGGGGGTCACAGTGACTACCAAAAGCCATGTACCGTTTGTTCTTCTATTCAGCCACTTTGCACTTGTCTTTTGATTCGATGAAACGTACTACCTTGCAGGAGAGCACTGGTAAATTTTATGAAATATAAATTGTAACACCCTTTTGGTACCATGCTGCCACAAGGAAGTACGAGGACTGAGATGCCTTGACAAGATTTGGGTTCGAGCCACAGACCTTTCGGTCCGTATGTTCTTGCTCTCTCGACCTCACTTTCGTTACAAAGCGGCCAGTTTTCGTTTAGCAAACAACTAAAGTTTGTCCTGTTAACAAGGTGATTAGGCGATTCACACCGAGTGAAACGACGATTAGAGTATGATGCTAATACAATGTCAACTTGGTCAAATGGCGGGTTATTATAGTCTCCTTTTCTAATTTTATCACCAGTAAACAGTTTGTTTGAGGCTGCAATCTTTCCGACTAGATTTTCGCTCACACATGAGGCCGAACACCTGACTCCGGTGTATGTGGAGTTACCTGTGAATACAAACGAATATGTGGATGTCGAACAAACACGAATGACGTCTTTTCAGCGAACGGATCCCATCGATAATTAATCTCTGTTGTTTACACTTGAAACCTGCGAACGACGTTTCATGTACTCAATTAATCCTCAGCTCACTCCAAATAGAATCTTGTCCAACAGTAGCTAAACTTTTATTATTATTATTATTATTATTTAGGTCATTACTATATTATGTTATTGTCCTCACATATTCCATAATGAGACAGGTGATCGCTTATCCTTGTCCCAGCTAACCCACTCAAAGGGTCACATTGGTCCAGCAGATACTGTTCTCAGAGCGAACAAATCGACTGTAGAACAAGCGCTTGCTACAACTTACTGCAATGTGGAGCATTATAGCCCACGAGTCATCCTTTTATGCTTCGTTCATCTTGTTGATAAAGCTAGCCGTTAAGGTCATTTAAGTATGCAAGAATGGCTACCTCTGAGCACGGGCGTGCCGATGATGGATGGAACTGAGTTTTACAATTTCTAGGATCACTCACCTTTGTGCTGAAGACGAGCGTGTAGAATCGCGTCGGCAAGCATATCTAATCCTGAGCATGAAACGTTGCGATTCCTAGTGGGTGGATACAAACTCTGATCGTTTACTCGAGTTTTGCGTCTGAATGCTTGTCGGCAGTTGTGACACACGACCATCGAGTCCTCCTCGCCCTGATACACAGGAATTCCTCCTTCCGGCTTCGAGGGAGTCAGACAGTGACTGTATCGGCGAAATCTGGTTGGTGAGGATGGGAGCGATCGTTGTGTCAGCTGGGTGCTGTTTTCCTTATCTGAACACATGATGAGACAACGAGTGCACAGCGGTTTTGTCTCTTCTAACTCACTGTTTTTTTCATTGGTTCTCGTTCGCGTCCAGACACCAGCATTATCGTCCTGCTTCTCTGAGTAGATTACATCCTCTGCAGGAAGTGTCAATGTCAATGCGGGTAGGATTATCTCCGATGGCGCATGTTTCTTGGCAGCAACGGAGAGATGTTCCATCTTGTCCATGCTGTGTACACCAGCCACCGCACCATCTGACCTTGTGGAATCGTAACTCGGTGTCTTGGATCCCACACCAGATTGAGTTTCAGAATAGACGACATTTTCGCGCTGTAACTTGTGCTGTGATCGAGAACGGTTGAGTGACAGTAAATTTACCGTCCCAGTCTCTAAGTTCGCTACGCTGACTGTCGAGTTTACACCTTGCATTCTCTCTCGCGAGGTCTTGCTGAGACTGTGCGCTAGTTTGGTCAATCGAGCCGATTCCTTGTGAAAAGTACGCCAGCGATTGGCCCTGGAGAAGCGAGTGTCAGATCGTTTGGGTGTAGGTACTTTTGTTTCATTAGCAAAACTGTTTTCCGCACTGCATTTATCCACGGCTGCATATTTTTCCGCTAACGGAGGTTGCTGACAGTCCACAGAAATTAAGGTGTGCGCTTCGGGTATGGGCCGTTCAGAAGACATGATTATAATAATAAGGCAAGGCTGACTACTGCTCAGGGATATCACAGGAATCGAACGCACTGTCAAATTCTCGTCAGATTTAGACGTGTGTTCAGTTATCCAGGGACAGTCATCCAGTATATCCATGACATGCCATAACTGTGTGAAGAAATTTTCCACTGTATGACTTTTCTGTCGAAACAGCTATCCAAACGGCACATGAGGTCTTTTACGAATCGTTATCTGTGTGTGCAAAGCACACGAACCATTAATAATCAAACGACACGAATCCTATTGGTTACCTGGATGTCGAGCGCCGGTCGACCAATCATCACGACGGAATAAAGAACCAATCGGAAATTAGGTAATGCGTGGTATTTTTATGTAGCTATTCGACAGAGCTTATTCGCAAGCTTTTGCTTATTCAGTACATATGGCGGGAAGGCATATTTTGGGACCAGCAGCCATAAGTGAAACCCCTGACCATATATCTTTCGGGTCGACAGAGACTGGTTCATTAAGTGACCAAACAGCATAGCCTGATCTCCACCGATCGCTAAAATGAAAAAAGACACCTATTAGTCATGATAGATTGATTGATGGGTGCAAATTTCTATTTTCGATTTGTGAGGTCTGTTAGTTCAGCCGGAAGAAGTTTGAGTAACTGTACGTAGTTGTGTGAACACCAAGTGTGCACAGTGTCACTCGAAAGCCCCTGTGACTCTTCGTATCATGCTCTGTTCTTCCTTCCGTTTCGTTGAAACGCACTGCCGTTCCACCCAGTCCGGTCTTCCCACTGGGTTTGACGGTTCCAAAGAGAACATAACGGATTACAGTATGGTATACATTTGACAAGGGAAGTTTTCCAAGACGCGAGTTTTCCGGAACATTTTTCCACAACATTCTCGCTGTACTTCACAACGATAAAAATTGAACAACCACAGAATTTGCGTCATTAGTGCCAAGTCGTTTGTGGAATTCCTATAGGCTTATTCAAGTAGAGCAAAACCGAAGGGCATTTCTTCGCTCATTCGAGAAAACCATCGTGTTCTTTATCTAGGCAAAGGAGACGCACTACCGGTCGCTGAAGGCACTTTTAGACAGCAGATCGTCTAGGTGTGATCAGCTAGCTGGAAAACTACACTTCTATATGTACTCATTGTTTGATTACGGAACTAGCTAACTTTGATTGTATCTGCTGAACGGGGCATGTGAATCTGACGAGTTTGAATACGCAACAATGTGAGTGGTACTCCAACAGTACTGCGCCATCAGGTCGTTCGCCTCCAGAAAATATAACATCTCCTCTTTAGTCAGCAACTCAACGACTCAAATCAACATGTGAACCCAAGTTAGTTGTGCGAACTGTTCGTCATTCGGACACTTGATCGTTTAGTCCGGCGACCAATTCTTTGTGTGTATAAACCTAAATGGGTAAGCGTAGGCTGATAAGCGAATCAACCCATCCAATGTGCGGAATCACGATCGGGAATCGAAAACCACTGATTTTGAATTTGTGTCGTGGAGTTGAATGATGTCCAGATTGGATTAGGCATGTCTGAGCAGGCAACACCTTATATCCACAGCAGCCTCACTCTTCAATGAGCATCCGTACTCAGAAACATATTCGATCACCGATAGTTGCGCGGTACCCAGCGAACACACACTGTATTCTGCAATACTGTGCAACCCACATTCAAAGCAGCCGTATTCCCCAGTTGACAATTCGCAAGAAACAAGTGATTGGGCAGTTAATCTTGTTGATCGAATAAGCGTCCAATCACAACTCAGCCCTGCTTTCTAAAGATATCTGGAAGTGACAAAGTTGTGCTCATGAAAACAGAAATTCGCTGGATTCGAACCTCCTCCGATCATTCGCCTTTGGGCAGGGTCTTCTCAGTGAACGATGCTCAGTTCAGCTACGTGTATGAAAAAACGCCTCTGCATTGAAGTCCGGGTACAGCGCAAATGTTTCCCAGTAAGAGTCGGGAAATTTTAAGGTTTATCCACCACAATGAAGTAGAGTACCGATGAATTACAACACCCATATTGGCGCACACTTACAAAAGTATTTTTTATAGAGTATGGAATTAAACCGATCGGTTTGCACAGCCGACAATGACCGGTCATTGCACGTAAATGAACGACTGTGTTTCGGGAATGATGGGGCACGTGATGACACCTGACCGTCGCCGTGGAGGACCAGCAAAGGAGACGAATCGTCTTCAGGATGCCCTCTTTAAAGTTAGCAGGAAGGGAAGTTTGCAAAGTTTACAAACCAGTCACGTGCATGCACCAGTGCAGTACTCTCTCAATCTATTTGGGGCTCAATGAAGCCAAGTAAATTGCAGTTTACTAGAGAGGTGAGCAACACTGAGCAATATCACCCAAACGAATTTTAGCTACGTTTATATGCTGTCTTGGCTGAAACAAAGTACATCCGGTGCCTACGACATTTCCAAAGACTATCAGCAGATTTCCTACTTTTGATATTTTGAAATTGACAAAACTGTCCCCATAATGGATTATACACTAATTTCTTAGTTTGCGAATTAAACGTTAAGAGCAAAAAGGCATAAAATCGATCAGCCGACAAATTGGGGTTCAAAAATGATAAATGAATAAAATACAAATAAATAAGATTCAAAAATTAAAAATCTGGGTTTGTGGAACAAGTACAATTATCAAAAGGCACAATTTTTTCCCTTACGCGCTGTGCGAATCTGATGGTTTTTCTTTCGAAGCCTGTTGGAATGAGGTAGGAGAAGCACATTAAGGGGGAAACTCAACGACGGAAGTGCAAATTTCAACAAGTGTTTTTTTCACGCAGCCAGTATGAAACATTCTCGCTTTGATTTTGAAGCCCGTCCGTGGACCAGGCGCTTTCCGTTACCTCGCGCGCGCGAGAGGTCGGCTGAAATGCCTGAAACTTCAAACAGCCAACGTATTCTAGGCCTAACTTCTCTTGGATCTACTCTTTATAATATTATTTTATCAAATGTGCTGAACAAAGCTCTCTTCATTCTTTAAAATCCCTTGGTCTGTATCAATACTACTCACGAGGTCGATGAAAAAAGCAGAACAGACGCTACTATTTTACCCCATATTGGGCCCATAAGGTGGCCGAGTCCCAGAATCTACCTGATTCCTTGTTTCTCAGGACTGCAAATAGGTTGCCACGAAGTAAGTTGGTTTGATAGAGGACTCAGTTGTACTTCACCTAAAACGTTGGCTTACACTAAGAGTACTTTGATTTCTTGTGGTTGGGGTAGCATATTTATTTATTTGCATTATTAGCATATTTATTTGACAGGTGAGAGTGTTGCAGCATACATTTAGTCTGGAACTCAAGTCGTAAGCCTACTTGGGTGAGATATGCCTACCAGACCCATCTGATGAACTCCAAAAAGGAGAAAACCGACCAGGACGGCAATACGCTGTCCGTGTTTTTGGTCAACTTCGTGAGTAGTACTCAAACCAGCACATTTCCCAAGAAATCCTGTTTTCTGTTCAGAATAACCCCTTCACGAATAAGAGAATACCAGTGTAACTGTGATACTACTGATGGGGGGCATGCGAGTAGTATATATGCTCATAGATCCGCTTTGCGTCGCTTGAAAAGTTAGATCTATTTCGGAATTTGTGGAGTCGCTTTGTAGCATTTGCTTGCGTTTGAGTGACAATTAACGGATATCCAGAAAAGTTCAGGAAGACGCGTTCAAAGAGAGGATGGATATTCAGTTTTTGTAAACAAGATGCATACGAGAGTTTTGCTTCCCTGTCCAATCGTCTGTAACTGGTCAGTTGGCATTTTCTAATGAATAACTCCACAGCAAAAGCCTTCTTCTTTCACCAGTAACATCTGGCTAGGTTTGCGTGAATTGTCGTCAAACTCTCCTGAACGAGTTTACAAATGTGAACACAACTTTGTGAGATCAATCAATCTAGTGAATTTCCGTTTGGACTGGCTGTTGAGTCATCTCGCCTTCCAGGGGCATAAATCAGAATCAACAAGGCCACCAAACAGGGGAACAATCAAAAATTCAGTGGGGTTTTCGAGCCTCAAGATACATGAACTCCCTAGATTCTCAAATTCACCTTGACCTATTAAACAGTTCACATTCACATAACTCTTGTTTGAATAATCCTTTTCTCATTTTGGGTCGCTTATTCTGGCGGGTTCACCCCAAAGGAGAGAAGCACTGGGCTTGAGTTCCGCTCTTATGGGAGCCCATCAAAAGTGCACATGCTTAATAGTGCATTTGACACGCGATGCAAACGGATTATCACCACCCACCAGCAGGCAAGTTTGTTCAAACTTGGCCGATTTGGATGACTGCTCAGCAAGCACCTGATTGGTTAGTCACTCTGTTCATTAGCCACGTGACCGAACGGGGTAGGCAAGCTCAAATCTCCTTTCAGGTTTATATTTGTAATGTACTACTCCTAAGGTTGCTGAAAATCCTTCCAGATTCATGAGATGCTTACTAGTGGCTATTCCCGATAATGATGAAACAGTGCTTATCAGTTTTTCAGTTTCGATTGACCACGATTTCAGGATGAAAGCCAGATTGAACAATTCAGTCCATAGGACAGTGCCGTGCAGAAACGCTTCCTGTACCTTTTTTGGTTTGTATAAAGCCATCCACTTGTAGAAAGTACTTGCAAGCTTGGTGAATTACACTCATTTGCAAACAAATTCGGTTTCTGCGGGCGACTCACATGGACCTCAGCTGAATCTCTCGTTTGTGATGTGTCCAGGCAACCGGATGCGCTGCACCAGGCCGCTTCATGTTTAAGTCGCTACGACATTCGAGATATCGCGATACTTGTATAGACGTAATGCATTACTCAAAAGGTTGCTGAAAATTCTTCGACAAATGAGTGTATTTCTCTAGTTTCATGCAATCCGATTTCAAGTAGAACATAAAGTTGGCGGAAACTCGGGGACTGCGCCTATCTGATGAGCCTCAAGAAGGGCCAAACCGGTCGTGGCCTGTCGATGAATTTTCAGCAAACTT